CATCTGACCTCAGCAATATTTTAAATCTGAATTACAAAAGTAGCTGACATAGTTATTCAGAAGGTAATTGCTATGCCTTCACTTCATTTTGTTGGGAGAGTAGTATGGATTGCTGTGAATCTCAGCATTTAGCTTTACTGACAAATTTGCATGTGAAGGCTCCATAGTATCAGCAAGGCCTGAGGCCAGAAAGAAGCAAAATGTGATGAAATGGCCCTGCTCCTTTTTCCCATGGAAGTCTCTATAGGCCACAGGAACCCACATCTCATGTGTGCTTACTGACTACTTCACATTCCCATCTAAAGTGATGTCTAAGGCAATGAGCAGCAGCTGAGATGGATTTATCTATCTATCTATCTATCTATCTATCTATCTATCTATCTATCTATCATCTATCTATCTATCTATCTATCTATCTACAAACATAATTGTTAAACAACCACCCTGGTATGGTTTTCATGCTTTAAGTAATTACATTTCTTCCAGAAGAATGTAAAAAATTTTCTTAGTTTTTGTTGTTAAAGAAAAGGAAATGAGCCACACTAACAAGTGCTATAAGATAAGCACTGGAGTGCCAACCAAAAGGTCAGTGGTTCAAACCCACCTCCTGCTCCTAAGAACCCTATACAGGGCTGCTTTGACTCGGAATTGATTCAATGACATTTAACACCACCACCACAAACAACAACAAAATTAAGTTTAAACAGACTTGTTGCTAAAACAATATCAGATAAAAGATATTTTAACATTAATATGGAACATAACTATTATATACATTTTTGCCACAGCTGCATTTTCCCACTTAACCTTTGAGCAGGAAATAACATCTCATAAAGCACATGTAAATTACTTTGATTCTTGTTAAATAAGACTGTATAGATTGCACATTTTACACCAAACCAGCTCAAGATGTTGTTGTTAAATACAGATGGGGTTGGTTTTACCTAGGCTGTAAATCTTTGCTGAAGCAGAAAGTCTCATCTTTCCCCCACAGAGAGGCTGGTAGGCTCGAATAAAAACAATCCAGTGTTTATTCTACAGAAGCACAATGTTTACCAGGATCATTGTTAGAACAATAAAAATAACATGTAAAAATGTTCATTTTTGTAGTACAACAAAATTCAACAGATGGTTGCCTTAATGGTCAGAACAAAATTAGTTGTAGTTTTGTAAACAGTATAAGGTTGTCTCTAGGACTGTATCATAGAATCCTAATAAATCACACATGTCATACACACACAAACAGCAGTGTCTCTTCTTCCGGTGACAACAGCCCAATGCTCTGTACCACAGCAGGTTTCTTTCACACTGTGTTCACAAAAGAGCAGTTATGACCCTCTGGTTAATAGGTTTCAGGCAGTCTCTGGGTTCTGGATAACCATCATTCGTTAAAGGACTCAGCTGGTCAGAATTTCTCTTGGCGGTGAAGCAGCTGTTCACTTTGAGTTTACCATATGCCCGGTTTGGGTCTATGTGGCATTTGATAAGCTCCAGTTTTGGTGCCTGCCCCTCCAGCAGGGCAGAAACTACCTGAAGGAAAAGAATGTTTGTGTGCTAGGGACACTGTCTGCCAAGAAGGTGTTGCATTAACTACATTTACAAGTTCATATCACATGAAAATCTGATTTAAATTTCTTTGATATCTTCATCCAAACCATTAATCAAAACTAAGAGATGATTCCCAATGGCGTCTGGGCATACCTCCAATAGAGAGCTCTATACTTATGAGTAGAGTGAATTTGGGCTTATGCACTGATGCCATGAATGATGTCCCAACACAGGGAACCACCAGCAGTATTTATGTTTCTAAAAAGGATCCCTAAACCAAAGAGAAATGGCAGATATTGACAAAGTAGCAGGGTGAGCAAAACTGGGCTCACATAATCTCTAGGTAAGAGTTATAGCATTCTAGGAGAAATAAAATATCACTGGCATCTTTACAATGATTATTCTAATATAAAATCAATGAATTAATTCATTTACCCAGATTGGAACCATACTGTAGTAGACTTTGTGCTAGATTATTACTTGATGAATTGCCTAAATGATGACTTGCAAAGAGAAATGGCAAGACTGTAGCTCAGGGTGCCTCTGTGTCAAAACAGACTTAAATGCACTTAACAACACAACAAACCTTCACCATGAGTTTCACCTCCTCCATCTCTCAAAATTACACACACATACATGCAGCTTGTTCTTTCCAAGTGCTTGTGAATTACACCCATTATCCTGAGTCCAAAGAAGAAATCTGGACAGAATAGAAACAAGACTGTGTACATCGTCATAAGATTATCACTGTGGATTTGACAATCTGCAACCCTTCTTTCACAGATATAGCTTGGTAGGACTAGTGATACACTATATGTTTCCTTCTTTTAATTTATTTTCTAAATTGTTTCTTGTGCACTAGAATAGGAATCCTTAGGAAGAAACTGTCTTATATGATTTCATAAACTGCTCAGTGTTTCCTTCCCCTTATCTCTGATTTTCTAAAATTCTCAGAATATGACTGGGAATAACTTCTTTCTGATTTCTTCTTTGTTTTATTGTTTAATCAATACCAGCTCCTTAGAAATGTACACACATGCAATCTACCTAAAAGTTGTTTTTCACTTTAAATACTACACTTTTCACAAGTCCATTTCAATATTCTGAAGACTTTGAGACTGAAAAGAGTTCCTGCTCCCAAAGAGTTTAGAGATAAGCAGGCATTTTGATCAAATTAAGATTATCCTTGATCAAACACAACCCTTAACTAAATCCCTAGTTTTCAGAGCACTTTAAAAGTTACTACACAGACAATTCCCCCTGCTTACTATTGTCCAAATTACTTACAATTACAATTGCAAACCAACTCTTGTAAAGCCAATTACATTAAAGATTTGAATCTGGTTTCCACAGACTGACTGGTGGGTTTGAAAACTGCTGACCTTTTTTTAGCAGTCCTGTGCTTAACCTACAATACCACTCCAGTACTCCAGAGGTACACTATATACTATATATACTAACAGAAGCATTTGAGTGTTGCTAGAAACAAATGATACCTAACTGTTTCAATTGATATATAAATTCAGTTGAATGACAGATTTAGGAACAGAATGCTTATAAACTGTAGACTGCTATATTCTTTGTTTCTTTGTCTTTGCCCTCCTGTAAAATCCTGTTGCTCTAATAGATGGAATACTTTTTGGGATTATCTTGACTTTCAAACACT